TCTGGCTCATTTCCTCCAAAAAAGTAACAGAGACCATTTGAATTTTTGTAAAAGATCTTGGGAAGTTTTTTAATTTTTCAAACAATCCGATAAATCCAAAAAGCAAAAAATCGCTCAAAGGAATTCGAAAAAATTCACACTTATGTTTTGATGAATTTCAAGCAATTTTGTTCCTTAAATTTTTTTTCCAAAGTCATTTCCTTTTGAGTAAAAAAATCGCAAAGTTTTTTATTTTTGAAAATTTTCAAAAAATTATAACTTTTTTATTTTTTATTTTAGCGAAAATGGTCTCTGTTACTTTTTTGTAGGAAATGAGCCAGATTTTCATAAAAAAATATGAAATATTAATTTTTTTAACATTTATTACTAAAAATTTGAAAAATTAAATTTTTTGTTTACGAGTTTGTCTCTTGTAGCCGCCATATTGGAGCCGCCATGTTGGATTTTGCAAAGGCGCACACAGCATCAGAAAGTAGATATCCTAAGCTTTAAAATGAGTCGTTGCACGATTTTTTTGGTCACATCAAATTTTGGACACAGCAGTGATCCGGTTGACATGGATCGTCCCATATACAATCTGTCTTATCAATTCCTGTACTAATGTTGAATGTTACTGGAAAATATCGTATCAATTATTGAAAAATAATGACCTAACCCGATTGGAAAAACATGAGTGTTTCTCTAATCTTTAGGAGATTAAATAAAAATTATTTGCAAACAAGCAATCTCCTTTAGGTAGACACATGTTAGTCATGATATATTTGTGCAATGAACTTGTAGGTTGAAAATAACTTTAATTGATGGTATTTTTTTATTGTATTTTTATCTAATATTTTGTATTTTTATGTTTTTCAATAAAGTCAACAAAAAATCAGTTATATAACTATACTTTTATAGAGAATCTCTTGAGATTAATCAATTCTTTTATGTAAAAATATGTATTTAAATTCATAAAAATCTTATGTTTGATTTTCAAATTATTAATATTTCTTCATCAATTTACTTTTTGGAGTTGGATGACATTTTGCTCTGAGCCTTGAATAACCTTGGATAAATATTGAACCAGCCGGACTTATTAAAATTTTATGTATTATATATAATGAAAAATCTTTTTATTTAAAAAAATTATCTAAAATCCTATTGTCACCATTTAGCTTTTGTTACAAATTATTTTTATAACGGTCAAATACAGATGTTGTAGAAATATGTATAAAAACTAAAATATCAAAGAAAGACTGGAGAAAAGAGAGACAATTCAGAATAACAGTTTCCATGTGTTACTCTATACATACATATGTTGATAATAAAATGACAGTTTGGAATAGTAAAGTTGACAAACATTTTTGTTTAAAAAGTACTAGTACCTCAGTCATAAAGTGTGGTGACAATGAACTCAAAGCTTTGCAAGCTTAGGAATCTCAAAATCAAGTGAAAGAATATACAAGTGACTTGGTAATATGTATAGAGAATTCTTGACTTAAATATTCACATTATGGAGTCATTACAGATAATAATAAACCAATTAAATTAATTAATATCCAGTCAAAGATAAAAATGTTACTGCCATTACAATGTTGCCAAATCTGAATTATTTTATCAAGTCAGAAGATAACATCTACAAGTTTAAAGAGAAACATATTTACTACGGACAAGTACAATTACAAATGGTTATGTTGAACGTTGTGTCAACCAATTTCATAATTTATTTCTCATTTGATAATACTTTACAGATTATTAGTGTAAAGTTTGATGCCAAATTTGTTGTTATTAGTAAATATCAATTATTAGTAAATATCAGATACATTATGTATGTTTGTAAGAAAATTTGTCTTCTGAAAAAATAAAAAAATAAAATGTTTAAGTAAGAACTGCAAACTGGTTGTTGGAAACATTACTTAAATAAATATTCTTATAATAAATTTAACACTTATTTATGTTTATTTGTGTCGTTTATAAATTTATTGTCTTTAAAAATAGGTGCTCCTAAATTTACTAAGCTGCAAGCAATTATAAATATTTTTTCTGCTCTTGGAAGCAACCCATTACACATTTTATCACGTAATACTTCTAACTCCTTGATTCTTTGATTGGCGTGTTTTACGTGTACACGCGCACAAGCAATAAATGAGTATTCTAAAGCTTCTCCCATAAATTACACCTTATCTTTTAAAAAAGAGAGTCTGATTAAAACAATGTCTTTTTGTTCAGACAAGTCGTCGACTAAAATCTACGATCAAATACGAGTGCATCTTTTTTTTTTTCAGAGATCTATTAAACCGCTCTGTCTAAAAATAGATGAGTCGGAAACTCTTCCCCCATATACCTTACTAACAAAACTTATTTAAACCATTAGCTGGCATAAATTTTGCAATGCATCGAGAATTATACTGTTACGAATGCGATTTATAATATCGAATTCGTACGTTTGTATTCACGGCAACATCAGAATAAATATTTTTGTTGTTGTTTAGTTAGTTGACGTAACAATACTGTGAAAATGTAATGATTTGACAATAAATAACAATAAATAACAACATAACTTTCCAGAGATTTGAATTGCTACCTCCGTACAATCTATAACAGCTCTAATGCTGTTATCTTTTTCAAAACAACTTGGTATATTTTTCAATACTTCAGTTTTTTCGGCAAGACAATAGCATACTTTCGAATCGCGCTTAGTACGTCAATGATAGAATTAACGTTATTTATAATAATTTTTCTTTTGCACTTTTGAAATATAACAGCTAAGAAATAATAACTAACATTTTGTTTTAATTTCATCATAGTTAAAATCACTTTTTCTGTGATAAACAATTTGCTATTATTTTGTTATTTACCTGAACCATATCTACTAATTCGGTCAAATCATTTAAAAACTGTCACGTCAGGAATACCTGTTAATATACTTCAAATCGGTATCTTCTTTATCAAGTCTGTAAATGCTGCAAATGAAGAACTAGCCTCCGTTGAAATCTTCGGCGGAGCTTGCGCCACAAATTCCATTGCATTAGCATTAATACGGATAGATTTCAATTGATCTACAAGCTCTACAGTCTCCAGCTCAGTTTGAATGCTTACGTCTGCCATATTGCATTTTATTGCAGACGGCGTAGTTTCAGAAATATAAACATCGATGACATTCTCAGCACGGTTATCGTAAAGATCACATTAACATCTTTTATCAAGGTCAGATAATTTTTCATTATTAATATCTCCAGGCTGTAGAATATTACTGGTATCTCGTGCGTTCTCTTTATCAATTATTTCGCAACCATTACAATTTTTACTCTGTTTCCATTTTTTTAGCGTTCTATAAAAATCCTATCTTTTCTTTCTTTTCTTTTTATATTAGATTCAAATCTAAACTTTGTCCAGTAAAAATAAAGAAACATCATTTTGTTTTCATTTCCGCCATCTACTTCAATATACAAATTTTTTTCTGATAATTAGTAGTTCTATTTACTTTGTTCATTAGACTTAACTACCTGTGTCAAAAAAATTTTCAGAACCAAAATATTCTAAGTACCCTGTAAATATATGCTTAACCTCTCCTTTGATTCTTAAGGATTTTAGTTATAAAAACCTTAAATTTACTTTTTCAATATTCCTAAAAATATTTTTTCTAGGAATATATTTGGCAGCTGAAGGAACTGTGGAAGCTTAAGTTGCTACTGTTGAATGGTCTCGAATTGCAATTATTGACGCAGCAACAACTTTTAGACTTATTTTTTCTTTCCATGCCAATTATGATGAAATTGGAATATATGGAGGCATTAAGTTGCAATTAAAAATGATAATTAAAATATAACTAAGATAACCAACTTTCTGTTTATGTAAGAACGCGAATAGCAGAGCTTAGTGTCCTTGTCTCAAGGCTTGCGGTAACGACCGACAGGGACACTGATACGATTATTGTCAATTCTGAATTTCTAAATCCTAATATAGGAGTGAGAAATTTGCGGAAATTCTGATGCGACATATAAAAGGATTCCTTTTACTTAACATGTACTTAACATAAGGATTGACTGTAAGGTCAAGGCGAACTGTAAGGGGAACGCCATGAAGAAGTTCGGGAGAGAGCAGATTTGGGCTGACTGCCTTCAGCCGCCGGTTACCACTCTTAGCGATGTCTCCCGCTGAGAGTTCGAATAAATAATTATTGTATACCCTTAAAATTGTCTGAGAGTTTATTTGGCATGCTCCCATTCCTACGGCATATACTATGTTACCACTCTCTTCTCTCATATACACGGAACATTTTATGTAAACTTCATTGACCTAAACTTAAATACGTCAAGGTGAGTAATGTTTAATTTTGTGATCAAGAAGATAAATAATATAAAATTCGTTAAGACTAACACTAGAATGAAAAAAGTTGTGCTAATATTGAACAAGCAACTGTAATGGTTATGGAAACGTTAACCTTGATAGAACTAATTTTTGTAGCGAATACTGAATGTGTAAAAGAATTATCGCATTTGCTAGAGTAACTATGCTGAATAAAATTGTTCAATCGGATATAGCAACTGATTAGGTTTCAAACTGAAATAAAATTCAATGTGATTTATTCATCTGCTTTGAAGTTGAAATTTTTTATCTTTTCAGCTGTTAAATTATAATAAGAATCCAATATAGTGAGTAATAAAATTTCTTTTGTATTATATTTATGGCGATTGAGTATTTTTTCATTTGAAAATTTGACTAATATTTAATTATAATAATTAATTAAAAAGTAGAAACCAAAATACTAATGATATTTATTACAAGTAGAATAATAAAATTGATCCTTTGTCCCTTATTTTATTAAGTTTCAACAATCGTAAATGCTATTTGTATGTGTAAACAAAAATCTATTTTTGTAAAACGAATTCCATCTATAAGAAATGTCAAGAAACAGATTCTCTTTTACCCATAGATAAGCTCCTGCGTAAAGATCAGCTATTACCAACTGCTGGTATTATATTCAAATAGTATATAATTTATCCACTATTGTTTACCGTGGCGCATTGACGTAACCTTCATTTTGATGACTATTCTGTTGTTGCCAGTTATTGCTGATTAATAATTGTTTATAATTATTCATTCAGTTATAAAAATTTTTTCAACGTAAGTATACACATTTGTTCATACATTTTTTGACTATATAAACCTATAGTTTAGGTAACTAATGAATTCTGATATAAAAATATCGATGACTTACATTTTCCAATTTTTTTAGAAAATGTCCAAACGTAAATATAATGAATACGACGATTCGGATGTAACAAATTTTGGAGTGAAACTAGATATAGATGATGCAAAAGCTGCTTTCAAAAATTCATTGGATTCTGATGAATCAGATGATGAAGAAGCAGAAGAACGATACAATGTTATGACAGAAAGGGATATGAATACTTTTATAAATACAAAAGGAGGTATATATATACACATAAATATTACAATAGTTTATTAAACACATATCAACATAGTCATATTGAAGAATCATGTAAAAATATCTTGAGCTTATTATTTTTTTGATGACACTCATGGAATTATGCTAATTTAGGAAAAGGTGAAGAAAGGTTAAGACATTACAATATTCAACATCCTAAAGATGAAGCATCAGCATCAGAAACAAATACAGGATTTACTGCATTTAATATGAAAGATGAAATTGAAGAAGGACACTTTGATGCTAATGGTCACTTTCTTTGGAAAAAAGATAAAGAAATACGTGATAATTGGCTTGATAATATTGATTGGTTAAAGGTTTGTTTGATCTGCTGTGGTACAATTAAAATATAGGTAAATGTATCACGAAACCATGTTTTACATTATTTCAAATATTTTTATTTAGGTAGAACCTAGTAAAGATGGTAGTAAATTAAATAAAAAGGATGACTCTGAAGATAGTGATGAAGGTGACAGCTTAATGTTCAATCCAATACCATTATATCATCAAATTTTAGAATATCTACAACCAGGAGAAACTATTTCGAAAGCTATACAAAGAATAGGTAAATTTTCATGTAGTATCTTATCTATGGTTGAAAAAATAGTTTAAAATATATTTATATTGGATTACTATTTATTATTACATTTTTTTTGTAGGTGGAAAGTTGAACAAGCTAACAACAGCTCAAAGGTGGAAGAGGAAAAAAGATCCAGAAGCTGCAAAAGAGGATGAAGAAACCTCAAAAAAAATAACACGCTTGACAGAACTTGCTAATGAATTGCTAACTCGTACTGGAAATATGGATATCTATCAAGAAAGTTATGAACAAATAAAGAAAAAAGTAACTGCTGCAGATAAACAGAAAAAGGATGCAGAACTGGATATGTATGCAGATGATTTTGATGTAAAAGAAAAAGAAAAAATGGAAGATGTAGATAAAAATACAGATGGTAATTGTGAAGTTTTATAAACTTTTAATTATTTTTTCAAATTACATAACTATTTTAAATTATGTATGGTTTCTTTGAATATTAGCATCAACGTCTCAAGAGATCAATGACTCTTCCATAGACTCAGAAGTGAAATGGGAATTGAAATGGTCACAAGAAGAAGGTGCTAAAATCCATGGACCTCATACAAGTCAACAAATGTATGCATGGGCAAATGAAGGTTTTTTCAAAAAGGGTGCATGGGTACGAAGGATTGGAACACAAGGAGAATTTCATAATGCGACTCGTATTGACTTTGAATTGTACATATAATTTTCATAATAGCTAATTAATATATATCATTGTATTTAATGTAGCCGACGTTGATACAGCTCATTGTACATACAAACTTGAACTTTCTGAGGGATTCTTTTTTATTGCATTCGTATCATAAATACTGACTATAAGTATATCAATACTTTAATAAATTAACTTTTTTATAACTGTACAAACTTTACAGGAATTATTTTAAACTTATATTGTCATATGTTCAACGTCTTCGTCTTATTTTTTTTCTTTTATTATTAAATGCATTTTTCAATGAAATTTTTTCGAGATCAAGATTATTGGCAAAATCAAGTAAACTTCTACCACCATTTCCGATTTTCGACCATTCGTTTGCAAAATTATCATGATTGTTGTGATCCCATATTGTTGGTGCAGAGTAATCTGTAACAAATTATAATTAAATTGTAGTTAAGTTAGCATTTAATAATGATTGTATCCAGAAAATAGTACACTAATATCGTCTAAGAGAACTCTGGTATAAAAGAATTTTCGTGATTCAAATACTGTAAAAATGAAGTATGAAAGAATAAATTATCTGCAATTTCTTAACAGAAAAATTGTTATTTTGATCTTATTACTTTACTACTAGTTTGTCGTTATTTACTTTGTATATTTCTACGGAAGTTCGATTGGTTCGGTTTCGAGTGTAAATGTAACTTGGTATCGACTGGAGATTCCAAAGCCAACTCAAGCTTTCGAGATTGAAAGTTTGTTTCTGTTTCAGTAGTCGAATGGAAAGTGCGCAGAAAAGAATTGTAAATATGTAAATAATGCTTTCATCTACATATTCAAGATTAGTGTGTAATTTTAGTCAACATAAGATCTTATAATCATGGCAAGGATAGCGTAAATTTGTAGGAACCGAATTCTTCATAATAAGACGTAGTGTTATTATTCATATTGAGTCCGTAACTCTCTACGCCTCTTTAAAAAAATAGTGTAGCGATGTAGATAGTGATACGTACCGTGTGTACCGTAAACTGGCTCGTGCTCGACCGGTAAATAGTGGTACGCCGGTCCTGACGGAGGAGAAAGAGGAAGAGGTTGAGGCACAAGATTGGCCTTGTTATGAAGGAATGGCAGATCGGGTAGAGCTGTCGCACCCACGAGGTACTTGACGGTGAACATGCTAACAGCGATGATGGCAGCGACCACGAGAACGATCTTGATCTTGATGAGGATGACGGCGGCTAGGCTCTTCAGCCCTCCCAAAACTGAACAACCGTAAATGCCAGAGCGATTCAAGTGGCGATAAGCTTGCTTGCTTGTTTGCTTGCTTGCGCTTTGTCGAGCGCGTGTGCGAGTATGTGTACGTGTGTGTGTGTGTGTATGTGTGTACATGTACCCATGCTCGAATGACTAGGATTTAACGTCGTCATATCTCTAGCGTGCATGCAACATGAATCTAGTAGGCTATACAGATCAGAGCTTTGACCCAATGATGCGTTTCCAAGTTGCTATATAGCATCACCGCTAGTGAGCGCAAGCTAGCTCTTGTACCCCTCGCGCGCGCGTGTCTGTATGTGTAAGCGTACGTTGCCAACGGAAAATAGTTCATCCCCTCTCCTGTGAGCTAAAGGGAAAAGCTTCTTATTGCGCTTTTCTTATATTCAACTTTTATACAGTGATTTTTTAACGAGCAACCATTCCAAGGCTCTGATTTATCATTCAAAGTTTATATAAAGATCTACTTGGAAATGACAAGTTCTATTTTCTTCAAAGATCCCGAACATATAAAAAAAAATAATCTTTTAGTAAAAGGCCAACGAAGATTAACAGCGTGAAATTAAGTAAGTTTTTACTTCGGGATCAAAAGTCTTTCATTTCTCAAGAATGCGTCACAGAGCTTGCAACAATTAATCGTTATAATGTTGAAAAAATGTAAACTTTTAATGAGCCTCAAACTCACAAGTTCTCATCAAGATGATGGCGTAAAAAAGGAAGGCGTGCTGTTTAAAATAATTCGTCTAAAAGAGAAATAGCGAAATGGAAAAAAATAGCGGGTAAGAAAAGGCAGTAGCGCGTTAAGCCAACGAAAGTTCCGTGCAAACGATACTAATGAAAAAGCGCGACGACGGCAGAAGCTAACTGACGGTAAACTCAATGAAACAAAAATTCAGCGAGAAATAAATAAGCGCGGGCAGACAACATCGACTGGCGTAGCTGCGAGATGTAGACGAAACAGCAACAATAAAAGAGCAAACGAAAGAGCGGCGGAGAGAGGGAGAGAGAGAGAGAGAGAGAGAGAGAGAGAGAGAGAGAGAGAGAGAGAGAGAGAGAGAGAACGATAAACAGAGAGAAAATCAGATAGAAAAGTACAAATGGAAGCTTGCGAGAAAGGAGGGGACGCAGCAGAGGCGTTCGTTGGCGCGCGAACGCAGCTCCCGGTAAAGGGTAGTATGCTAATGCAATTATGGAAATCGCGGTATGGAAAGCAGTCGAGAGACTGGCAGCGTGTAAGAGGAAGAAGGATGCGCTGCCGCGAAAGCTACGAGCCTATCGTATAGCTATATGCAAAAGCGGACAGAGCGGATAAAACAGCTGCGTAAGACGGCGTGTCGCGATAATCGTGAATATGTAATTACAGGGAAGGATGTGCGGATAGAGATAAACGGTGCTGAAGCCCGAGCTCGCCTCGCTCCTCATCCTCGCTGAAATAAAAAATAAAAAACATACGGCGAGCCATGGATTTTTCATGGTGGATTCGCTAGTGTGTCGCTTTTCCTTCTGGCGCAACGCTGCGTGCTATTTTTGGCCGAGCGCGAAGTTGCATTTGACGCACGACTCCGCAAGCTCCGACTTTTATATCTGTCGGGCAGGGTGTGTAGCATTAATCGAGAGCCATTTTCCATGTGGAGTCCGGCCAGCGCTTTCTTCCCTAGTTTTTCGCTTCCGCGGCCTTTCCAGTGGCTCGCTGGATATTCCGAATTGATCACTTATGCAACAATCATAGCGCGCTCGTGTTCGTCTATGGTTGCGGCTTAGCAATTTCAATGATGTATTTCCTTTGTGCGCGCGAGCGAGAGAGAAGACTTGAATGCGCCAAAGTGAAACAGATGGTGTGAATTTATGCTCTAGCCGTCCACAAGTTTATTATTAAATTTGCTAACTTTTGAGAATGAGAGAGGGAGAGAGAGTTGAATTTTCGGAACGCGAGAACGTATGATGAATATGTAGAAATGCACATGTGGAATAGTCACGCGGCAAATTTATGAAAATGCCATTGAGCGGCACTATGCTCGGTTAAACTTTCTTTTGCGAGAGCGTAAAAACCGTCGGCGTTTATTTTTTTTTATGGCGCGGTCGTGCACGTTAATCTAAAAAAATGGCCGCACTTATAATCTAATGATGATCGTCCGAGATTATTATCATTCATCCCCGATATGGTGTAGTTTTCAAGCTGCGGAAGATTCGAAGCCGCGGAGCAGCTTGTGTAGAAAGTTAGTGTCTACTTAGCGCGCGCTGGGCGAAACTCAGCGCTGAATAAAAGGTGATACGTGTTCTAAGAACACTAATGCCTTGCCGCTCCACTTACACAATGCTCAATTAGACACTTTTCTATGTTTCATTTCAAACGGATTCCACTTGAGGTTACCTTATTTCTGGGAAAAATAGTTTTAATTCACAATTCGCCGGTAAGTAGTACAGCACAATTAACGTCAGACGCAATGCACCTTCACGGAACTCGGTTCACGCACGCCCGTTCAGCGAACGAAAATACATTCCGATAACGAGGAAAAGCACGAGAAATTAGTTGCACACACAGCGAAGGATCGACGCTTGAGCCTATCCCAAGTTGCGCAGAGTCTAGAGAACGAGGAGAGTCGTGTGCCGCCGCAGAAACGTGCACACAGACGTCTACACCAGCTCGTTGAATGAATATATACTCACAAAGTAGCAACTGATGCTTGTGCTTCCGGGCGACGTTGCTCGGCTTCGTGGCGAACTCATTTTCCGACTGCGAGCTGCCTCTGTTGGCTGCCGCGTCAACTTGGTTGCAGGTCAACGCGACTAAGAGGAGGAGAAGGATCGGAAGCGCGCTCTTCATTTCCATTTCCGGGGCGAAACTCAGTCGGGTTCTCGGCTTGCCGCGGGCCTTTATACCCTCCATGCCGTGCGTAGACGACGTGCCACTGGTCGGGGAGAGCCACTTATTTAGCACCATGGTTTCACTCTGAGAGAGAGAGAGAGTTGTTCTCGGCAAATATATGCATGCGAGAACGGAGAAACCAACCGACGCCCGTGGAAATTGTGTTGCTGCTCTTTTTTTTTACGAGGGGAATTTCACGCCGATGCATGTAGGCTAAGCGTTGCGCGTCGCTGTATAAGTCGATGACAATCCGGCATCACGAGGGAATGCAAATGTTCTTTCGTTCTAGCACCCGATGCGCAACGTTTTTCCGCGCGAATCAATACTCCGCGTTACCCGCTACAATTTTTATATCCCCAGTGATTACCGCGTAATTTCCAATCAGTCTTGATTCGAAATGACATTGTTCGAAAAAGGAAATATTTCGTCGACGTAATTGATAACAATGAAGCCGAATTCCAGCGCGTACGGCCAATTAGCGGAACGTTAAAACGTTTACAGTGCACGCCAGCTGTCTGTAACGAGCGCAGAAGGTCTGCGGGCAACAGGCGCTGCGGCGCTGCGCGTATTTGCAGGATGTGTTTGAGCGATTTCGGATCTACGCGGATGGTGTCTAATTGCCAGGTGACTTACTTGAACGAAAGTGGACGGCTTGTTACACCGCGACTCTAGCTCTGTTTACTCCTCGAGCTTCTTGGCAGCGGCAAGCTCGCACGACGCTTAGTGCACTGCCTTTACGGGCATGACTTTCGACTCGATTCTTATTTACCTGCATTCCTGGTTTGAACTCCAGTTGCAATCATTAATTTACATTGCCATTACCGTTTGGTAATTGGATATCGTTCGCCGAAGCACTTGTATTAATGAGGCTCATATATATATATTGCATCCCGGATTGCAGCTGTGGAATGCTAAGTTTATATATATATTGTAATACGGAGCAGCGCCGAACAAATATAAGTTACTCGTGTAAATTATTGATATCGATCGTCTCTATGGAAAGTCAATCAATCTAGAATATTTGCGTTCAATACACTCAGCTGAGCTCTCGCGCGAGTTGACATTCAATTAATTTCGCATGCGACACGTGCAGCGTATGATAATAATAATACCGCATTAAAAATGGAACATTTTTGCTCTTTGGCGACTGAATATCTGAGAATAATATTGATGTTGACGAAATATAATCATGAAATAGAATAACAGATTACTCCTTTTTTGCCCGTATATTTATAATCAAAATTGAGTTCGCTGAAATCAAGATGCCAAACAAATGAGTGCCAGGAGGATATTAAATGTTCCATATTTAACGAATTCAAAGTTATCTAAAATATTGCCGTTGATGCTCTATTTTGAATTCGTATATGCAACTTGTATATGGGTCATTCTAATACTTTTTTAAAATAACGTGGGCACATATGTCACCGATTCTGACGCCAATTTTTTTTCAGGTTTGG